AATGTCACATGAATTTGGCACATAATAAGGGTAAATTATCACGGCTTTTGGGATTAAGACTACTCCCATCAAAAACACCCACAAGGCACATACGGAACTGTTTGTAACTCTGTAACTTCTGGAAATCCTTATGGATCTAACGGGGATTGCTTTACTACAATCCTAGAGTTTTCTTAAAAAAAAATATATATATTTTTTTTTACATACATTTTAAATGTATTTTTTAAATACATGTCTGAACAACACAAATGGTGCAGATCGAGTTACATTCTTTTGGGAATAGTTCACCCAAAAATTAAAATTGACTGAAAATGTAATCTTAATCCCTCAGGCCATCCAAGATGTAGATGAGTTTGTTTCTTCATCAGATCTGGAGAAATGTAGCATTGCATCACTTGCTCAGCAATGGATGCTCTGCAGTGAATGGGTGCCGTCAGAATGAGAGTCCAAACAGCTGATAAAAACATCACAATAATCCACAAGTAATCCACACCACTCCAGTCCATCAGTCAACATCTTGTGAAGCCAAAAGCTGTCATTAAGACGTTTTTAACTTTAAACCGTTGCTTTTGAATAAAATACCAGTCTATAATAAGACTTCCTATACTTCATTCTGACGGCACCCATTCACTGCAGAGGATCCTTTGGTGAGAAAGTGATGCAATTCAACTTCCAATCAACAAACAAACTCATCTCCATCTTGGATGGACTAAGGGTGAGCAAATTTCCATTTTTGGGAGAACTATTCCTTTAACTGCCAATAAAAGCCTAAATTAGTCTTGTTTGTCTGTCTGCAGAGAAAGGATGAGGTTGCCCTACATGACTGATCAGTGTGAACAGATGCTGAAGATCTCCAATGAGTTTGTGAGACTGCAAGTGTCCAACGAGGAGTACCTGTGCATGAAAGTCCTTCTGCTCCTGAGCACAGGTGACTTCTTTAGAAGCCATTAATGCTTGATCCAAACGGTTTCGGGTTCCCTGAGAATCCAGATGACATAGTTTGATGTCAAATTACTTCATTTTACAGAGGACCGTAACAAAACCTTTGTGTGTTTTTGTGCTTTGTCAGTGCCGAAGGATGGTTTGAAGAGCCAGTCAGTGTTTGAGGAGCTACGAATGTCTTACATTAAAGAACTGGGCAAAGCCATTGTGAAGAGAGAGGAGAACTCCAGCAAGAACTGGCAACGATTCTATCAGCTAACTAAGCTACTGGACTCCATGCACGACGTAATGAATTTTATCCTAAATAATGCTTTTTAAAAGCTGTGGCTTTGCTCCAAACCCTAGTGAGTTGCTCCTGCTAAGGCCGCATCCTAACTGAGATTTTACATTTCATAATGTCATATTGTCATACTAATATATCGCTCGGGAGACTCAAATCAACAGTTAAACCCAGTAGAGTTGCATGTCGCTTAGCTAATGATGCAATACTCCAGTAAGCATAAAAACACACGGCACTAGGGTCACCATATCAGGGGCCTGTTGCATAAACAGTCACTATGTAAAGACTGTGTTTTACTAACTAGTTACAAGAACTACTAGTTAAGTGGTAATCAGCCTTTTTGGATTCAAATTAGACAAATATACATTTTTATGTTGCTGATTTTGAAAAGTTATGACTGACTAGTCTTGCAGAAAAAATGAGATGGCTAACATTTAAGACTAGTCTAAGCAGTTTATGCAACCATTCCCAGATGTTCACTACATGATTATTGCGGCCATAAGAATCATGAACCATCAGTCAAATTCATCTTTAACTTTTTTCAACTTTCTCTTTAACTTTTATGGCCTGTGAATCACACTCAAAATCTAAGTGTAGAAAGTAGGAGGAAGAGTAACCGTAATTTTACAAAAGTGGACAAAAATAGCAAACTTTTCTGGGTGTGAGTAGAGAGTCTTGCTTTCACCTGTCATCTACTCCAACATGAGTTTGTGTGGCAGTAGTAGCTACATATTTTTTCGTTTTTTTCAATAATTAAAGTTACTTTTAAAAGTAATGCATTACAATATTGCGTTACTCCCTAAAAAAGTAACTAACTGCATTACTTTTAATGCATTACGTTATTTGTATATTTTTGGCAACTGTAAAGGCCCTTTGACACAAACAAGGGGACAGGTGTAGGGGTGTCGCGATATACCGGTATTGATGATAACCATGATATTTAAAATGAACAGGACACTTGTGATAACACGATACGCAAATAGCCTACTCCAGCGCCAGTACCTTGTTGACCTCCCAGGTGGCAGTATTGCGCCTTAACACTGACACCTGTCACACAAGAAGAAGACGCAGCGCACGGCCGCACTACTCCAAGAAGAACCAATAGTATCCATGAATATATCTCAGAAGAACCATGTTCAATATTATCCAGACAGTAAGTTGCCATTATTTTACTAGTCATTGAATGGGAAATGTTACATTAACCTGTTAACAGCGGTTTCCTGTTTTCATATATTTAAATAAAAGGGTGATTCTTTTAATAAGTACCGCGTTTTCTTTACTCGTCTAATTTTTGTATTTGTATTTGCAATCAAGTCATGGCCAATACTGCCTTTGTGTAGCAATTGATTTCTTTGTTCAAATCTATTAACACGATTAAAACTGATCTAGAAAAACTGAGCGACCTCATTAAACTCTGTAAAATATAAAGTTGGTCGCAGTGCCATGCACTTAATGCCTCATCTGCGGTCAATGTTAATATTTATTCATTATACTGTTGGACTTGACAGTATTTTCTCTCTTGTTATTTCATAGGGAGCTTCAAGGAAGACCGAGAAAGCCAGAGTCTCAGGTCAGCTGTGACCTGAAGAAGAAGAAGAAGTGAAAATGCATGTGCCCTGTGTTTATCAGTATCCTTATGTTCATTGGGTAAAAAGAAAAATGAAATAAACAAAGAAAAAATTAATTTGGCTGATTCCCTAAGGTTTCTATAGATACCGTGATATATCGATATCGTAAATTCTTTTGGACACAATAACCGTGGTGTGAAAAATCTAATATCGTGACAGCCCTAGACAGGTGTCAGTGAATAAATGTGAAAAAGTAACTCAGATATTTCATTGTAAATTTAAAAGTAATACGAGTTACTTTTTTTTAAAAGTAATCTGATTACGTAACTTGCATTACTTGTAATGCGTTACCCCCAAAACTGTTCATTAAATTATAACATTGAACTGTTATAACCGCAAAGGATGGTGAAGCAAACGACGCCTTTTTGCCTAAACTAGGTTTCATATTGTAAGCCAGCTTTTTAGAACAGCTTTCACCTCAGGAGTGTGCCTATGAATGATGCTGCCTACTGAGGCAACTCACAAGGATTTGGAACAGAGCCTATGTCTATGGTCTGTCTTTGTATTGCATAAATTATCATTTTAGTTTAAAGACATAACTGGTCAGATTTTTTAATGTACCTTTTATTGTGCTGTTCATCGGTGCATGTTAGTCTGATGAGAAAATACACTTATATCTTACAAAAATTTGGGGTCGGTAAGATTTTTTAAATGTTTTGTTAGGAGTCTCTTATGCACAACAAGGCTGCATTTATTTGATCAAAGACACATAAATACTGTGAAATATTACATTTAAAAATAACTGTTTACTATTGCAAAATATTTTAAAATGTAATTTATTCCTGAATTTTCTGCATCATTACTCCAGTCTTCAGTGTCACATGATCCTTCAGAAATAATAATAATAATAATACATTTTATTTATAAAGCACTTTACATTTTAAAGAAAATCTAGAAAATCATTCTAATATGCTGATTTGCTGCTCCATAAACATCAATGTTGAAGACATTTGTGCTGCTTCATATTTAATGAATACACAATTTAAAAGAGCATCATTTATTTGAAACATAGTTTTTTTTGTAACAATGCAAAAATCTTAAAAAGTCACTTTGATCAATTGAATGCATCTTTGCTGAATCAAATTAGAAGGAAATGTCCCCTTCACAGTCCTCGTTCAAAATGTATGAACCTCCTCCACTTTTGATCAAACTGAGACTATGTGTGCATAGAAAAAATGATATGAATATCCTAGCCTAACCTTGTCTTACCCGATACAATTGGGATTCACGCGAAAGTAAAGTGCATCACAAACGCTCTTTCACATCTCTAACCCCTCTGTGTCTCCTCAGATGGTGGGTGGACTCCTGAACTTCTGTTTCTACACCTTTGTGAATAAATCCCTCAGCGTGGAGTTTCCCGAAATGCTGGCGGAGATCATCAGCAACCAGTTACCAAAATTCAAAGCTGGGAGTGTCAAATCGCTGCTGTTTCACCAGAAGTGAAACTCCTCCCAGCAGCAGGACACGATGCCTTAAACGTCCACCCCGTCCCCTCACTCCCACTCCATCGGGACAGCAGAGGGAGGCGGAGGCGTGTGAGAGAGAGAGGACTGTATGCAACCCAGCACACAACTCCATGATTGACCACAGTACAGTCGGAGGAAGAGACGGGTAATTAGAGGTTGTAAAAAGCTAACAAACGGCTGAACTGTTGAAATGACATAACCACGAATCTCATGGATAGATTATCCCATACACGTCGTCTCAGGTGTTTGACTCCCAGCATCAACTATTATTAGTAGAAGAAAGCTAATAAAGGTCACTTACTACATACAGTATGTAGAGTTGCACACGATGCAGCACTTACGCAGTCCAATATGCGCAGATTATGCGCAGATTATATAGTAAGTATCCTACTTTTTAACTTCAGATGATAAAAGTTTGAAATAATCATTTCAATAATATGTAGAGATAATGGCTTCAGCTTGGTTTGAAATGAAATACGTTTTGTATGACACCATATATCTTCAGTTTTAAAACGACTCATGTCATTAACAGAGTTACATATATACAGAAAAAGGGAAAATATGTGCCTTTTTATTTTATTTTTTTTAAGCTTCTTTCCCTGTTTTGACTCGTCCGCACCAGACATCTGGCACTTCTTCTTCTTCATAGCTGATTGTACTTTTATACCCACTTGCACTTGTAATTTAAAAAACGGCCATTCTTTTTTTTTTGGCAGCTCTTTAATCATTAGTGGGAACTTCAAAAAAGTGATCCTTATCGCGGAGATGAGTCTTGACGATAATTTTTACGCTGAGAAATGCAAATCGAGCACTTTCACTCCTTGTAAATGCTTTAAAGGGGCTGGTTTAGGTTTGTTCTGCAGCGAAGGTGTATTTGTGTCTAAGAAAGCCATTTATTGTTAATTTCACCTGTTAATTCATATAGGAATTATGCAATGTGAAACATGAATTTTTGTCAGTTTTGTTTTTATGTGTGTCATATTTGTTCCTTAGCAATGCCACATTATTCAACCAAAACAATGAATGCAGATTACAGTACCTATACCATTTATACAGACAGATGATTTGAATTGTCAGATACAGTACAATCACACTTAGCTACACCAAACATCAACTCAGGCCCACTTCATTTATATTTGCTGTACTCTAGATCCTGTATGACAGTGTACATTTCTAATTTTTTTTTTTTAGGTCCAGACTAATCCATATTAAACTAACCTTGACCTGTCTTGGTTTAATCAGTCAAACTGTGGTGTAAGTGCAGGGTTTGAACTCTCTGGGAATTTCTACTCGCCTGTATTGTTGCAATCTGTTATTTTTGTGCCAAACATATATTGCTTTCAGTTTGTACAATCTAAAACTGTGCTCGTCTTAACAGTTGTCAAAGGTTTATATATATATATATACAGTATATATTCAAGAGGGGGAAAAAGAGAGGATCAGAATATTTTACAGTTCTTCTGTGGAAGCTTAATACATCTTGTTTAATACACAAATAAAAAATCTCCAGCTTCAGACTGCTTAGCATTGCATTTGTGTGGTACAGATTTAGCGATCAACACTCGTTTTCAAATTCTAATCGATATCTGAGCAGCACTTTTCTCTTCGCTCTTCCGTTCCTACAGATATACAGTATCTCACAGAAGTGAGTACACCCCTCACATTTTTGTCAATATTTTATTATATCTTTTCATGTGACAACACTGAAGAAATGACACTTTGCTACAATGTAAAGTAGTGAGTGTACAGCTTGTATAACAGTGTAAAGTTGCTGTCCCCTCAAAATAACTCAACACACAGCCATTAATGTCTAAACCACTGGCCACAAAAGTGAGTACACCCCAAAGTGAAAATGTCCAAATTGGGCCCAAAATGTCAATATTTTGTGCGCCCACCATTATTTTCCAGCACTGCCTTAACCCTCTTGGGCATGGAGTTCACCAGAACTTCACAGGTTGCCACTGGAGTCCTCTTCCACTCATGACGACATCACGGAGCTGGTGGATGTTAGAGACCTTGCACTCCTCCACCTTCCGTTTGAGGATGCCCACACAGATGCTCAATAGGGTTTAGGTCTGGAGACATGCTTGCCCAATCCATCACCTTTACCCTCAGCTTCTTTAGCAAGGCAGTGGTCGTCTTGGAGGTGTGTTTGGGGTCGTTATCATGTTGGAATACTGCCCTGCGGCCCAGTCTCCGAAGGGAGGGGATCATGCTCTGCTTCAGTATGTAACAGTACATGTTGGCATTCATGGTTCCCTCAATGAACTGTAGCTCCCCAGTGCCGGCAGCACTCATGCAGCCCCAGACCATGACACTCCCACCACCATGCTTGACTGTAGGCAAGACACACTTGTCTTTGTACTCCTCACCTGGTTGCCGCCACACACGCTTGACACCATCTGAACCAAATAAGTTTATCTTGGTCTCATCAGACCACAGGACATGGTTCCAGTAATCCATGTCCTTAGTCTGCTTGTCTTCAGCAAACTGTTTGCGGGCTTTCTTGTGCATCATCTTTAGAAGAGGCTTCCTTCTGGGACGACAGCCATGCAGACCAATTTGATGCAGTGTGCGGCGTATGGTCTGAGCACTGACAGGCTGACCCCCCCACCCCTTCAACCTCTGCAGCAATGCTGGCAGCACTCATACGTCTATTTCCCAAACACAACCTCTGGATATGACGCCGAGCACGTGCACTCAACTTCTTTGGTCGACCATGGCGAGACCTGTTCTGAGTGGAACCTGTCCTGTTAAACCGCTGTATGGTCTTGGCCACCGTGCTGCAGCTCAGTTTCAGGGTCTTGGCAATCTTCTTATAGCCTACGCCATCTACACATGTATTTACATGAACTTTTTGCAACATGTCTAATAAAATGTTCTCTTAGACCCTACGGTGTCAGGAGTGGCCTGTCGTGTTATCAGATGTCAGCTGCAATGGGCTTTAACTTCACGCAGTGATTCAGACTGAACATGTGCGGTGTTGTCAAAATGGACATTATCTCAGCTCCTACAGGTGAGAGGCAAGATGCCTCTATATATTTTAGAATGCTAATCAATTATTGAAAGATGTTTCAGCTTTTCATATTTAAAAGATAAGTTGCAGAGGCAAGCTGTAAGCCTTTACATTATTATATATGTAAAGTATAGTATATTATAAGACTCCATTTATGTTTATACATGGTAGTGGTATGTTTTTCATTAAAATCTCGCAGCTCAAACATGCCGCTGTTTGAAATTCTAGTGTATAGGGACAACCTGGATTTTTATTTTTAATTATTTACTTTTTTTTTTTTGGTCATACCATGTTTTTAGAGGGTTTTTTAATAATGTAATGGGGTTTTTTTTCACTATAACATTTAAATAATTTGTTTCATTATCAGTTTTATTTTATGGGCCAGTTACAAATCCTTTAAAAAACTTTAACAGGTGCTTAAAAAATGTCATCTTTGTAATCAAGTTGGTTGTGTGACGATGTAAGATAAAATAATGACAATGTAATGTATGAATATAGATATATATATAAAAGGGCAGAGAAGTGATTTTGTTCAAATCCAAAAAAAACTTTATGTGGCAAATTATAATCATATGTTATAGTGATGAAAGCAAATAGCTGTGTAACCAGCCTTTTTGAAAAGACTTGCAAAAAGACATGTTTTGTTTGGGTCAGGTCAAGTCAAGTCACATTTATTTATATAGCGCTTTTTACAATACATATTGTGTCAAAGCAGCTTTACAGTATTCAAAATAGGAAAAATAGTGTGTAATAATGCAAAACAGTAAAGACTCCGTTTTCAGTTAAAGTCAGTTCTTTATTGATTCAGTGATGTCAACGTCCAGCTCTGTTCAGTTCAAATAGTAATAGTATATAATATATATATATATATTGCACCCTCAGATTCCAGATTTTAAAATAGTTGCATCCACATATTGTCCAAATATGTATAATTTTTTTTAAATGTATCAATTTAAAAAAAATTGACACTTATGACTGGTTTTGTGGTCCAGGGTCACATATACCAATCAACCAATTTGATTACAAAAATTACATTTCTTAAGAACCTGGCAGCTTTTTAAAAGATTTGTAATTGGCCCATATAATCAACCTATGTGATAATTAAACAAATTATTTAAACAAGTATTATTTACCTAAATATTATTATGAGATGAAATTATTACATTGAAGAAGAAAAAAACCTAAAAATCAATATATAAATGAAATATAATGATATAAATTAAAATTAAACCTTATTATATAAACAATATCTTACAGCCTATATTTAGTGCGTTTTTCCCTAGGCTGTCATAATGACATGTCTTGCCCAGGCAGGTTTAGACTCGCTGGTTAATCAATACAACCGTTCACCGTTCCCTGCAGCTTCAGCATTATTAACCGTGTCTCAATCCTCCGGAGCTGCCTACCTAGACAGCATTTCGTCCATCGCATGCACGTTCCGAGCCAGCCTCCCAGCAATGCCGTAGGTAAGCGCCTCGCTAGACCGCGAGTGAGACACGGCCATTTTCAGCTTTCAGACAGCGCCTGTGCTCAGAAGAGCGCACTGAATAGTAGGCATGACGGAGGCCGATCCTGCGGTGAAATGCGGCCCTCCCGACTACAAGAAGCTGGCGCGGCTGTACTGCATGAACGGAGGATTTCACCTGCGGCTCGCGGCGGACGGAGCCGTGGCTGGAGCGCGAGAGGAAGACGATTACAGTGAGTTCCGCTGCAGATTATAACGCGTTTATCGGTGCTACAGTAAACCGTCTCGTTAGTGTGTGTGTGCTGCCGGCAGAATGAGAATAAAGTATTTAAAAATTAATAAAGTAGACAACATTGGGATTGATATCATTAAGAATTGTTATATTGACATTTTCATTTTAAAAGGGCTTTGTGCTGAAAAGCATATTGTCCCCTCTTGAAACATGAAACATGTTAGTTATAAAAAATTAAATAGGCCTATTTAAACTGCACTGAATACGTGTCAGTATGTCAGTAATTTACCATTTTATCTATCCATCCATCTATCCTCATATATGTGACCCTGGAGCACAAAGCAGTCTTAAGTCGCTGGGGTATATTTGTAGCAATAGCCAACAATACATCAAAATTATCCATTTTTCTTTTATGCCAAAAATCATTAGGATATTAAGTAAAGATCATGTTCCATGAAGATGTTTAGTAAATTTCCTACTGTAAATATATCAAAACTTAATTTTTGATTAGTAATATGCATTGCTAAGAACTTAATTTGGACAACTTTAAAGATGATTTTCTCAATATTTAGATTTTTTTGCACCCTCAGATGCCAGATTTTCAAATAGTTGTATCTCAGCCAAATATTGTCCTATCCTAACAAACCATACATCAATGGAAAGCTTATGTATTCATATTCCAGAAAAGAATCGACCCTTATGACTGGTTTTGTGCTCCACGGTCACATATATGAAGTACTTATTTTCTAAAACATGTTTTACTCTAAACCTGCTAGAAAATCAAAGCCATAAATCTAACAACGTTGTGTTCCAAATTTGAGGTTGATATCACAAAAAAAATGAGAATTTTGTTTGGCCGCAGTACCGAATGTTTCCACTAGGGGAAATACGTTTGCTGTTTGCTTCCAATGTTTACAAATGATCATACAGTATATCTTTAGAAAGTGAACAGCACATAACAGGCACATACCAGTATAAACATAAATATCTATCAATACAATATACATCACACCACTCAACATGCATCAATATTTTCAAATTCCCTTTCAATGATTAGTAATATGCATTGCTAAGAACTTCATTTGGACAACTTTAAAGATGATTTTCTCAATATTTAGATTTTTGTGCACCCTCAGATTTTCTAATAGTTGTATCTCAGCCAAATATTGTCCTATCATAACAAACCATACATCAATGGAAAGCTGAAAATTATTCTGCTTTCAGATGACGTATAAATCTCAATTTCGAAAAATTGACCCTTATGACTGGTTTTGTGGTCCAGGGTCACAAACACACACACAATAAATAAACATATATACTATTACACACACGCACACATATACTATTACACACATACAAATATACATACATACATTTACACACACGGAGCTTGTAATCCGTTACTGATTCCAAATTACATGGCAAAAATTGTAGTCAGTAACGTAATCCATTACATTACACATTTTAGGTAATATAATCAGACTACTTTTGTCCTCGTTTATCACATTGATTTAAATAGGATAATCTTGTACCATAATGATGTAAAAATACAGAATGGAAAAAATATTCCATTCATCATAATTAACAACATGAAGTGTATTAAAATAATATTACATCAAGGTTTCCCAAACTGGTGTTCGTAAAGGAACTGCAGGGGGTTTGTGAGTTTAATGAAAAACTACTAAGATTACAATCAAAGTGCTCACATCCAGCAGGCCAAAAGCTCAATGTGGGTGCTCAACCACAAACAAATCACAGCAAAGTTGGCACGACCTTTTTTAACTTTAGTTCATGTGTAATGTTCCTGTTTGAGCATAACATCCGCAAAGGGAGATATTTTCTTTTACATAATTAGCTTTTTAAAGCAGCACTATGTAACTTTTGTCGCTCTAGCGGTTAATAAACAGAGCTGCACACATCCCGCGGAAGAACATTCCAACCGGAGCTACTTCTCTAAGTTTATGTCTCTGGCGATTCACGCAGGTATGTGTTCCTCCGCAGCGGCGACGACCCGACCAGCCTACAATAGTCCAAATTTAAGTGCTTATTATAAGTGTACCGTAGTGATTCGGAATAAGACAAAAAGATGGTTGGAAGATGGATTCATGATGTACTCGCTCATTATATATATTTTTGCAAATTTTGAACAGAAAAAGTTACATAGTGCTGCTTTAAGGACTACAACAAACAGCTGGTAGGGACTACAACGAGCTTCTTCCTTGGTTTGTGATCTCATGAACCCTAAAATTGACATAAACCCTGCCAACACACTGACCAATCTGAGCCCGTTGCCTATTTTTGAGGAAGGGGCTTCAGAGAACCAGGAAGTCAACAGACTGTTTTTAGGAGAACGGAAACAGCGTAAAATAAATGAAAAATAATGGAATTTAAAAAAAACAAGCATGAACACGTGTTACAGTGCCCCCCATAAACACAATCAAGCCTTCGAAAATAGCTGGTTGACCACCCCTTTATTAGGTGAAAGAGGTTCAGATGACAAAACGTGTGCCAATGTCGGCATTACATGTAAATAACGAGTTTGAAAGACAAAAGCCTTTCAATAATACATGGTTAAATAACCTACTGATTGATATCATTCAAATAAAAATGAATGTGTTCATCAGTAGTTGATGCAGTGTTGAAACACTTTTGTAAATCCAGTGGCCAGATGCTGTGTATCCACCTGACTAGTGGCTGATCTCTGTGTGAATGTCCACAACACTGGACTTTCTGAGTCTATATAAGTGGTAGGCTATTTTAGAAAGGAACATTTAAAAGAGGAATTAGGGAGAATCAATAAATTACGAATAATTTATTGCTATTGTGTAAATAATATGCAGTCATGTAAGCCATAAAAAAGTAACTGTAGTCTGATTACGTAGTATTTTAAAATGTAATTTACTCTAATTACAAGTACTTCATTTTTGGAATTGAATTACATAATCCGGATTACATGTAATCAGTTACTACCCAGCTCTGTACACACACACACACTCTCTCTCTCTCTCTCTCACACACACACACGCACACATACTCTCTCTCTCTCTCTCTCTCTCTCACACACACACACACATACACTCACACACACACACACTCTCTCTCTCTCACACACACACACACACACACACACACTTTCACTCTCTCTCTCACACACACACAATAAAGTGTGTGAAAAGACTTACATAAAGTGTGTACATCAACCTGTAAGCATGTCTTCTCTAATGCTCAATATTATTACAAAATCTTTTAGACTATTTTGTTAAATTGACATTAAAAATGATTTGCACTGCTATATATCTTGCTTGAAAACTTCATTTCATCCCTAAAAACATTTGGCCTTGATCTTCTGTTATTCTGGATGTTGGACACTGTTCTGGAATGTAGGATTGTTCTGTATCATTTTCAATAATCCTCCCATATTTACAACAGTCTTACTGTGTGTGTGTGTGTGTGTGTGCGCGCGTGTGTGTGGTTTTAAAGGCATACTGCGCATAAAAGCTACTAGTCCAGGAGTGGTGGTCATTGACGGAGCAGAGACAGGACTTTACCTCTCTATGAATGAAGACGGCAAGCTGTACGCTTCAGTAAGTCCTTCTGATAACAAAGGCATAAAACTTCATCAGTATTTTTTTGAACTAATGCATGTTTTTTCCGTCTTTGCAGTCATTAGTAACAGATGAAAGTTATTTCTTGGAGAGGATGGAGGAAAACCACTACAACACGTATCAGTCTCAAAAGCACGGTGAAAACTGGTACGTCGGGATAAAAAAGAACGGAAAAATGAAACGCGGTCCAAGAACACACATTGGACAAAAGGCGATCTTCTTTCTCCCTCGACAGGTGGACCAGACAAAGGACTGAAGCCTGGAACCTGGTCATATTTCATCACACAGAATAACTGCTAACACTTTACAATAAGATCCCATTTGTAAACATTAGTTAACTACTGTTCATTTCATGGACCTAAACGAACATAAACTAACAAGAAAGTTACATTTTCATTATCTAATGTTAGAAAATAGAAATAAATACTGTATATTTACTGTAGAAAAAATACTGTAATAGATGTATTGCTCATTGTTAATGCATCAGATAACTAATTATTAGGACATTATTGTAAAGTGAATCACTACATACATAACCCACTGTTAATCACAGGATTACTCCACTAACTACACATGAATCGCATCCAACTCACTGTCAGACGGCTGAATATACAACAGATGCAGACGAACAGAAGTTTAGATGGAAACTTTACTATTTAAATATGCACTGACAAAGAAAGATATAGATTATAGAAAACTACTATAATAGTAATCTTTTTATTTTTAAATTGTAAATTGAGTTCTTCAGTCCGAACAATCTTAAATGACATTTCATGTTGTATTTTCTTATGGTTATGTAATCATGTGTGTCTGATTGCGTTTCATTTTTCTGTTCATGAGCAACGTTATTGTGCTGTCATTGCACCTTTCTGGATCATGTTACACAATAAATCTCCTCACTGACATGTACTGTGTCGAGTCATTTAAGGTATATAGTCATGTCAAATTATAATAACTGCAAATGAATAAATGGTAAATGTTACTATAAATACTACAATACGTAAGTCACCAAACCAACAAATCATAGTTAATCTTATACTAACACATGCATAATAGATGTATATATAATTGTTAAAGTTAAGATCATTCAGTTGAAGATCTAAAAGTTGAGTCAAGTTTTTTTGGGGGAAGCTGGGGTTAATGTTTTTGCTAGGCAAGGATGCATTAAATTAATTAAAAATGATCAAAACGATTTTCTTTGGAATTTTCTTATTAATCAGAAATGAGAATATGCTCAAGGATCTGAAGGATCATGTGACACTGAATAATGCTCAATTCAGCTTTGTCATCACGGGAAACGAATGCATTTTAAAATTGATTTAAATAGAAAACCTTTGTAATAGTATTAGGGCTGTCGATTTAGCGCATTAAATTGTTATTTAGAGGCTTATTTCTTGCATAAGTATAAGAGGTAGCAAGGTTAAATCTTGCTCAAATTTTTTAAATAAATCAAACTTTATGTAATTACATATTTTCAGAAACTGTGACATATAAGTTAATCACAGATGACAGCTTTTTAGGCGGTCTGAGGTGAAAGACAGGTAACTGTCTGTCTCCCTAATATAACAGCGACTCCCTTATATAGTGCTAACTAACCAGACAATGCATTTTTCATGTCTGAGCCATTTCTGGACACCACAACAAAATATCTATAATTTGCTTTTTTCGACCAGCATTCCCTGTCATTTCAGTGTCAATTACTTCAGTTGTGACATCTAATAATAACAGTCCTGTAAGATGTCTTACCTGAATAACAGCTATTATAGTTGGAATGTTATGCAGTCTTACTGTGTGTGTGTGTGTGTGTGTGTGCGCGCGTGTGTGTGGTTTTAAAGGCATACTGCGCATAAAAGCTACTAGTCCAGGAGTGGTGGTCATTGAAGGAGCAGAGACAGGACTTTACCTCTCTATGAATGAAGACGGCAAGCTGTACGCTTCAGTAAGTCTTCAGAAATCTGTAACAGATGAAAGTTATTTCTTGGAGAGGATGGAGGAAAACCACTACAACACGTATCAGTCTCAAAAGCACGGTGAAAACTGGTACGTCGGGATAAAAAAGAACGGAAAAATGAAACGCGGTCCAAGAACACACATTGGACAAAAGGCGATCTTCTTTCTCCCTCGACAGGTGGACCAGACAAAGGACTGAAGCCTGGAACCTGGTCATATTTCATCACACAGAATAACTGCTAACACTTTACAATAAGATCCCATTTGTAAACATTAGTTAACTACTGTTCATTTCATGGACCTAAACGAACATAAACTAACAAGAAAGTTACATTTTCATTATCTAATGTTAGAAAATAGAAATAAATACTGTATATTTACTGTAGAAAAAATACTGTAATAGATGTATTGCTCATTGTTAATGCATCAGATAACTAATTATTAGGACATTATTGTAAAGTGAATCACTACATACATAACCCACTGTTAATCACAGGATTACTCCACTAACTACACATGAATCGCATCCAACTCACTGTCAGACGGCTGAATATACAACAGATGCAGACGAACAGAAGTTTAGATGGAAACTTTACTATTTAAATATGCACTGACAAAGAAAGATATAGATTATAGAAAACTACTATAATAGTAATCTTTTTATTTTTAAATTGTAAATTGAGTTCTTCAGTCCGAACAATCTTAAATGACATTTCATGTTGTATCTTCTTATGGTTATGTAATCATGTGTGTCTGATTGCGTTTCATTTTTCTGTTCATGAGCAACGTTATTGTGCTGTCATTGCACCTTTCTGGATCATGTTACACAATAAATCTCCTCACTGACATGTACTGTGTCGAGTCATTTAAGGTATATAGTCATGTCAAATTATAATAACTGCAAATGAATAAATGGTAAATGTTACTATAAATACTACAATACGTAAGTCACCAAACCAACAAATCATAGTTAATCTTATACTAACACATGCATAATAGATGTATATATAATTGTTAAAGTTAAGATCATTCAGTTGAAGATCTAAAAGTTGAGTCAAGTTTTTTTGGGGGAAGCTGGGGTTAATGTTTTTGCTAGGCAAGGATGCATTAAATTAATTAAAAATGATCAAAACGATTTTCTTTGGAATTTTCTTATTAATCAGAAATGAGAATATGCTCAAGGATCTGAAGGATCATGTGACACTGAATAATGCTCAATTCAGCTTTGTCATCACGGGAAACGAATGCATTTTAAAATTGATTTAAATAGAAAACCTTTGTAATAGTATTAGGGCTGTCGATTTAGCGCATTAAATTGGTGCTGTTAAATTAGAAAAAATCATGCGTTAAAATTAACGCGTTAAAATCAGCCCGCCCCACTCATACCTGCACGTCATCTTGCATTGATGCAATTAACAAGATGACTGACTGATTTCACAACATTACTACTAAATAAAAGCAGCATCGCTGAGAATTATAGACTTTTCAAAAATATTAAAATCTACAACCGCAAACTGGAAGCGGTAGTGTATAATACTGACAAATACACAAGTGGTGTTGCCATATATGTTACATTTATTAAGTTACTCGACAAGTGTAAAACATACAAATCACAAACAACACATCGTGAAGCACTATCCCATACTGAAGTCTTCAATAAAAACAAAAAGATCAATGAACCATCTACTGCTACATTTGGCATCATAAAACATTCTGTTATTCACACTGATTGATTAAGCGCATTACATATTCAGGTGTGCTTTAATGCTGAATCAGTTTGCTGTTTATATCGAACTGCTATGAATCTAAGCTAACCTATTATATAATAAGAGTGTTTTGGTCCGTTTGGTGACTAATTTAAAACAAGCTGACATATTTTCGAATACACTTTTAATATGCTTTTGGCTTTACAAGGACCTGGCAGTCGCTCTGTGCATCTTGTTGTTGTTTATATCTTGAAAGTGCATGTTTATAACATTTAATATCTCTCTTCTCGTATACTGTATATACATAGTTCAGTTACTAGATTTACCCACAAAGTAAAATTACAACTTTCACACAAATTAAGAGAAAACCCACAGAAACCAACTGTGACTGGGAATTTTACAAAAACAGATTCTGAACTGGAGCACATGCACATGTAAGCTTCTAACTGCATAATGACTGTATACTGTACGACTGAATTAAGCACAGATAAATGGTTGGAGGAACTCGGATCCTTTAGTAAAAAAAGCCAATGTAATTAGTTGCATTACGCAAACAACAAGTGCAAGGGCGTCTGAAGCAGATGTGTTCTTTGCACTGCTGTTGTTTATGTCCTGAAGATTCAAAAAAGCTGTAGGTGGCTCTCTTTGACTTTGCCGTTTTGTTCATTTTGCAATTATCCTGAGATTTTAATCTATTCACAAAATCAAAAGAGAGAAAACACTTCACCTTCATTTTAATATCATGTCCACAATCATTTACATCACTGAAAGGTTGTCTTTTAATTGATTTTCCCCTAATGCAATGCACACACCTCATCTAAAAAAAAAAAAAGTAGTAAATAATTGCTTGTGATTTACCTAATAGATAAAAAGAACTCGGGTTTGAGGAAGGGTAGACATGGAATGATCTGCCATGTTGCGAACTCTGGAATAGTTAACAAATCCCCGGAAGAACAGCAGGAATCCTGGTGTAATAAAAATGACATAGTTGCAATAATAATATATTAATTGTTAATAAAAAAAAGATAAATTGATAATACTTAAGTAATGATATAAAATAATATTAACAATAAAGTCATAATGTTAAAGTTTTTTTTTTAATCATCGGAATAGATTTGGAGAAATGTAGCATTGCATCACTTGCTCAGCAATGGATGCTCTGCAGTGAATGGGTGCCGTCAGAATGAGAGTCCAAACAGCTGATAAAAACACCACAATAATCCACACCACTCCAGTCCATCAGTTAACATGCTAGCTGCTTGTTTGTAATAAATTCATCAATAAGACATTTTAACTTAAAACCGTCACTTCTGGCCAAAATATGAGTCCATAATTCATAACGCTTCCTCCAGTGAAACAGTCCATCTCTTGTTGTCCTCTCACATGTTTTAGAACCGTTTTGGCTTGATGTTTTGGTTTTGATCTGTGCATTTTTTTTTCTCCTGATTCAGAAGAGACGAGTTTTCACTACAGAACGCAGCCGGAAGAAAATTTTTTAACATTAAAACCTTTTTAATGATGGCTTTGTTTCTTACAAACACTCAGCTTTTGGCTTCATAAGACATTAACTGATGGACTGGAGTGGTGTGGATTACTTGTGGATTATTGTGATGTTTTTTATCAGACTCTCATTCTGACGGCACCCATTCACTGCAGAG